TTGAAACATAGATATGATATGTTTATGATGAATAAACAGAAATCGATTGACATGCCTGATTTTGTATTTATTTATTTCTATGTCCATGTGGTGTTGAGGTAACTGTACTTGAAATGAGTTTATTTTATATTTCAATGTATCATGAATAAAATATATGACCTAATACATTCAAATATATAATACACTCATTTCAACTACAGTTAATTTAGTTGAATAATCATAAATTAATATGGATATATGGTAATCACTGAATACTAATGATTGAAACCAAATGGAGCCATACAGATTCTGATTTACTGAAACTTATGGAACATGGTAAATGTTATTAATAGAAACGAAATTCACAGGGAATCATAATTGAACTAAGTAAATACAATGTATATGAAACCATCTGAAAGTAGAGGATAAGGGAAACCCAATGGAACCTCATAGGAATCTGCGTAACGGAAACGCACTGGAACCATACAAGAATCTGGGTAACGGAAACGCACTGGAGCCCTAGAGGAAAAAGGGTAACGGAAACACACTGGAGCCTTACTGGAAACTGGGTAACGGAAACGCACTGGAGCCTTACTGGAAACTGGGTAACGGAAACGCACTGGAGCCATGCCGGTTTCTGGGTAACGGAAACGCACTGGAGCCATGCCGGTTTCTGGGTAATTTGTAAGTTTCCGTTTTCCGGAAACTTGAAGGAAATGTAGAGAAACGTTCCGGAAACCTAGTTGAAACGTATGTTTCCATTTTGTTTCCGTTAGGTTTCCGGGGTCCGGAAACCAAGTTATTTTTGCTGTGTTGCACGTTAAGATGGCGCTAAACTCGACCACGTGACGGCCTCGATATGGTTTTGCATATATGTGTCAGTAACACGTACAACAGACTTACTGTAAGATATCTTATCACATGACAAATTAATTCTGGACACCCATTGGCCCAACGCTCCCAGCTGTGAACAGTTTCTGTCTTACAAAATACAGCATGATCAGAAATATTTCAGCTATATGGCGGCAGTCTGTAAATAATCGAGACTGGACCAGACAATACGGTGATCAACGGCATGAGCATCAATCTGTGCAGTTGGGAAAGATGACATGTGTCAACCAAGTCAGCGAGCCTGACCACCCCATCCCGTTAGTTGCCTTATACGACAAGCATGGGTTACTGAAGATCAATTCTAGCCCGGATCTTCACGGTTTGATGTTTATATATATACATACTAAGGATGATAAATTGAAATACATCTTATCGAAACCTCAAAATATAAATCTTTTGCATGATCAAAAGCTGTGTTTTTAGCTAACATTTAGATAAAATATGCTACGGGTAACATTACACATAACTAATTAAGTTTGATTTAGTTTTGGTCATTTATTGCCCTATGAAGATATCTCGTCTATGCGTGAAAGCAACTAGTCCATGGGCGAGAAAACATTCCCTTGCTGAAAACGTGTATCTTAGCTGTTGCAAATGCATGACAGAGAAGTGGATCTGAGAATTTCTGGGCAAATGGGCTAAGAGAAACAGATTATGACGTGTAACACTGAAAGCAGCATCAGCATAGCGTTCATTGCATATGAGATATCCATCATGAATCTGGTCAGTGTTGGGTCATCTGAACTATCTGGATCATCACGTGTCTTGTGAGGTTCGTTAGCGCAAAAACCCCGATTGTCACAGTTTAATCTCTTTGGATGGTTTGCCATGCATCGCATCATGGCATTAATAACGTATGTATGTATATAATGAGATGACACATACACGTTAAAGAATTCACCATACAATGGTATATTACAGATAGCCTATGTTCCCATCAATACAGAATTCATATGAACCCGTGAAGATCCGGGTAAGAATGGATCTTCAGCAACCCATGCTTGTCGTAAGAAACGACTGACGGGATTGGGTGGTCAGGCTCGTTAACTTGGTTGGCACTTGTCATCGTATCCTCATTATATAGATCGATGCTGAAGATGCCGATCAGTGGGTTGTCTGGTCAGCCTCAATTACAGACCGCCGTCATGTAGGTGGAATATTGCCGGCGTTAAACAACCAACCGACCAACCAACCAAATCCATATGATAACATGACTCATATACATTAAAGAATACTCCACACAGGGGTATATTACAGAACGTCATTGTTCCCATCAACACAGTTTCCATATGATAACATGACTGATATACATTGAAGAATACACCACACAGGGGTATATTGCAGAACGTCATTGTTCCAATCAATACAGTATCCAAATGATAACATGTCTCATATACATTGAAGAATACACCATACAGGGGTATATTACAGAACTGCATTGTTCACATCAATACAGTATCCAAATGATAACATGTCTCATATACATTGAAGAATACACCATACAGGGGTATATTACAGAACTGCATTGTTCACATCAATACAGTATCCAAATGATAACATGTCTCATATACATTGAAGAATACACCATACAGGGGTATATTACAGAACGTCATTGTTCACATCAATACAGTATCCAAATGATAACATGTCTCATATACATTGAAGAATACACCATACAGGGGTATATTACAGAACTGCATTGTTCACATCAATACAGTATCCATATGATAACATGTCTCATATACATTGAAGAATACACCATACAGGGGTATATTACAGAACTGCATTGTTCACATCAATACAGTATCCATATGATAACATGTCTCATATACATTAAAGAATACATCACACAGGGGTATATTACAGAACTGCATTGTTCACATCAATACAGTATCCAAATGATAACATGTCTCATATACATTGAAGAATACACCATACAGGGTTATATTACAGAACGTCATTGTTCCCGTCAATACAGTATCCAAATGATAACATGTCTCATATACATTAAAGAATACATCACACAGGGTTATATTTCAGAACGTCATTGTTCCCGTCAATACAGTATCCAAATGATAACATGTCTCATATACATTAAAGAATACACCACACAGGAGTATATTACAGAACTGCATTGTTCACATCAATACAGTATCCAAATGATAACATGTCTCATATACATTAAAGAATACACCACACAGGGGTATATTACAGAACTGCATTGTCATGTAACAGTAAGTTAATATGTAACGTCATGTCAGCAATATTTCAGCCATATTGTGACGAAAGCAATTTCTTAACTTATGAGGAGTACTTTTAGACTCTAACAACCTGTCAACAATGGAAAGTACAACATTACAGGTATGCAAACATAAACACGATTCAAGATTCAAGATATAGTATTCAAGGGTTTTGTCCCAGAGTACATGTGCAAAAACCTTTGGTCAAGTATATTCATTATCACAACACATGTGCAATAAGACGAATGCACGAATAAATACAAGCCAACTGTCACTGGAGCATCGCACCTGACTCAACATCACCGTACACCTCTTTCTGATAAAGCATGTATTACCTCCCCCCATAGTTCTTCAGTTTGACCCACTGGATGTTAAATGTAACTGCAGTAATACTAAATCACCCGAACCCTCTCTCTGTGAAACATAATAATAACAATAACAATACAGGGTAATATTGTGATCTCAGAAAAAACTCTTTACTAAGGTAATTTAAACATTGAGTGACTGAATAACAGCAACATTTACCATGCTATATGTATTAGTGTTAGTGACAAGTGGTTGTCTCCCTTTAACTGTTGCTCTATGATTGCCTGGCTTCTGTACATCACACGATCTACAAAACTGTGGAATCTTAATAGCTAACCGATTGGTTACTCCATCGCCCCTGTAAGTCATAACTTTCACAAACTTGTCAACATTACATAAACTGATTGTACATAATGTTGTAGAAGCGTGTGTGAACTGGCGTCACAGTTGGCAAGATGTAATAAAGTGCACATAATCCTCCACAACAGAGACATTCAGGTTATCAAAACAATATTTACAGATTCTATCTCTCTAGCAACATCTCACTATCGCCAATTCTAAAATTTTTACTTTTAAATTTGTAAAAAAAAATATTCTCTGGTTCCAACACACATTTAAGGACAACATAATTTCTAGGTTTACTGCGCTCACTTACACGGTGTGCCGGAGTGTGCCTCCAACAGTCCTGTAGATTTTTCTTGCCAACAATGAGAAAGTAGGACACATCCCCAACTCCTTGTCCAACCTATACTAAATTAAAACCTAAGTTGTTTCAAATCTGTTGCCTACGTGGATCTACCAACTTCTACGATCTGATACAACGGCAAATAGCAGACCTTGGGGGTATCTTGTAGTGGACATATATGGAACTAATACTTTATGACACTGTACATATATGATACATGTAAACAATATCTTCCTTGCTCAACATTTCATCTGCAAACAATAATAAAGAATTATCTTCAGCAAACTTAATGACAAGTATATCTTTACATTTGGTAATTTTTATAACTATCATTCAAAAACAAAATGAACAACACAGTATTATTTATACATCCTTGTCGAGGTTCCATGTGACACGCAAAATACCCTGACAGTGAATGTTTATCTCATCCAAAACTTTGAAAATTTCACCTTAATATAATTTTGTAATGAAACAGACAATAGCAGACAATAGTCCTTCAGATATCTACTTTTGAATCAAGGATTGCAGAACATATATATTGAATGTAATCATTTAAGGGTGTTCGTAAATTCTGTTTCACACCAGTAAGAGTGCGTATTGTGTAATATTCCAGTATGTTTTCCCAATTAAGGACAACAGAGGAATGTCCGTATAATTATTAGGTTCTCAGCTTTCACTTATTGTATGATTAGGGAATAGCCTTGACTCCACCAATGTAGAAGGGAAAACACCAACGACATCACATTGAATGGTTGGTTATACATTGCATCTATAACGTATCTATATAATAACACGACTAATACACTAACAGGCTATATTACAGAACGTCAATCCTCACATCAATGGAGCATGCATATAATAACATGGTTCATATACATTACAGATACACCATGCTATGGTATATAACAGAATGGGATTGTTCACATCACTACAGTATCCATATAATCACATGGCTCTATACATTAAAGAATACACCATACACAGCGCTTTGGCGCGACTGTTCTGAATGTTCATATTAACACACGAGGGACGTCCAAGTATGTCGCCAAAGTCACAGGTCAACAGAGTCCACAGTAATGATATATCTGTCACTACAGGCGTATCCCCACACCCAAGTCTCACATCACTCTCTCATCCCAGTTGATGATGGTACTTGGTTGTGATCAAGTCCTTCTGTAGCCTTCCACAATATTCCATCTGAATCAGACGTTGAGCAAGCACCCTAATGAAGACATCTCCCCGGAACATTCAGTTTAACATAACCATCTGTCTCAGATGTGCAGACACCTGCCTGGTCCAAGGGCATTATATAACAGATTGATAGTATTCTTGGAACAACCATACATGAACTGGTATTTAACATATAATCGAGCATCGACATAACCAATATCAACTGCATTTACAAGAAGTTGGTACATCTAACCAATAATCATCTAAATAATTTTATCAATGACATACACAAAGTAATCCTTAATACATGCGACTAATAAGGCAAACAAAACAATTTTAGATGCATGAAAAAAATGATTCAATTTTTTAGATGTGGAATAAGTAGCCTCATACAAATGAAATAATTTTCACATTTTGCTTATAACAGACGGATGAAAGAATTCCCCCTAAGCATTTAATTTAATGTTACTTCTCCACTAAGTCATTTTTCTGTAACCGGGTATATTTTTATTTTGTTTATAAAATTAACAATTTGGCCCAGGGCACATCAACTAGTGGTTCTGTTATTATTATTCATGAGGCCACAGGACTGCAAAAGATGCCTGACCGAACCAAGAAGTACACTCACGATGATCTATACTACACAATGTTGTCTACCAAAATAACATCCACCACTCGAGATTGGGAAGTAGTTTCCCCAGTGACTGCCAAGAGAAGAGAAGCCCTTCACTCCACCTGATCTCATCAATTTTGGCATTACGACTTACATACCGTCCAACACTACACTCAGGAGATATAGACAAAACGTGCACTGCTGTGTTACCATTATGCTCACAACAACAATACAACAATGCTACCTGTGGATGTAAGTATTGCCATTAATGTTCAAACAAACGGATATACAGCACAACTATTTAATATACATTTAAACATGATCAAGCTAAATGGTAATCAAATGCTATTTACAAGGCTTTTAACCATTGCAAATACAATGGTTTGTTAGACTTGGTAATGCTTTTCTGGAAATTTTATCTTCCAACATTTCCCAATTTCATTCTGAAACTTTCTTCCTCAACTTCTCTCCATGTTATTGGCACATAAGGCCAAGCAAGTCTTCTGTTTCCTGGACTGGTTGCCTACCGTTCTGCCACCAAGTTGACCTCTTGGATAAACCAACCGAATATGGCTGCCTCATTGGCGTGAAGGCAAAAGTGGGTGACCGTCCCGTTACAGGTCAAAATCGTGCCCTGCTGTAGTTTTCGTCTAGCAAGAGAAAATATTGTCTTTCCAGATCTTGCATTTCAAAGAATGGTCCCGACGAAGCTTTGTTGATTACAAATCATACTCATCCTTCTGACAACAACTGGCTCTAGGTCACAGTCCTACCCTGCTCTCTTATTTTAATGTCAGAATAGACGCATTGCAACCAAGACACTAGTATTACCGTTGCCAGTTAAAATGATACCAGCTTCGTAAGACACAAATAAGTCAAAAACGTTTTTTGACCACACAGAGCTGCCATCATGACTTGGATCCGACCATCACGCTTTCTCTTGTTAATATCACAAACCTTGATGAAGGTGTTAAACAACAGAAATGCTACAACTCTCAATAGCATAATGTAATACACTGTCATCTTCATGTCAGATCAGCTGCACTGGACAACAGTAAGTCAAAAACGTCTTTTTGACCACACAGAGTTGCCACCATGACTGGGGTCAGACCATCGCGCCCTTTCTTGCTGATGTCACATTTTGTGAGAAAGTGTTGAACAATAGACCCGTTAGCACCTACACAAGTGTAATGTAACACTCCGTCATCTTCGTCATCAGTTGTGAGACCACCACGCCCCTGCTCTTAATATCACAAACCTTGATGAAGGCGTTGAACAATAGAATTGTTACCACCCTCAATAGCATAATGTAAAACACCTTTATCTTCATCATCAACCAGGGTGAGATCAGCTGCATTGGACATCAGCAACTCAAAAACGTCTTTTTGACCACACAGAGCTGCGCGCATGACTGGGGTCCGACCATCATGCCCTCTCTTGTTTATATCACAAACTCTGATTATGTGTCGAATAATAGACGTGTTACCACCTTGACAAGCATAATGTAACACACTGTCATACTCATCATCAACCAGGGTGAGATCAGCTGCATTTGACATCAGTAACTCAAAAACGTCTTTTTGACCACACACAGCTGCGCGCATGACTGGGGTCCGACCATCATGCCCTCTCTTGTTAATATCACAAACTCTGATGAGGTGTTGAACAATAGACATGTTACCACCTTGACAAGCATAATGTAACACACCTTCATCTTTATCATCAGCCAGGGTGAGATCAGCTGCATTGGACATCAGTAAGTCAAAAACGTCTTTTTGACCACACAGAGCTGCGCGCATGACTGGGGTCCGACCATCACGCCCTCTCTTGTTAATATCACAAACTCTGATGAGGTGTCGAATAATAGACGTGTTACCACCTTGACAAGCATAATGTAACACACTGTCATACTTATCATCAACCAGGGTGAGATCAGCTGCATTGGCCATCAGTAAGTCAAAAACGTCTTTTTGACCACACAGGGCTGCCACCATGACTGGGGTCCGACCATTACGCCCTTTCTTGTAAATGTCACATACTGTGATGAGGTGTTGAACAATAGACGTGTTACCACCTTGACAAGCATAATTCAACACACCTTCATCTTTATCATCAACCAGTGTGAGATCAGCTGCATTGGACACCAGTAAGTCAAAAACGTCTTTTTGACCATACAGAGCTGCCAGCATGACTGGGGTCCGACCATCACGCCCTTTCTTGTTAATGTCACATACTGTGATGAGGTGTTGAACAATAGACGTGTTACCACCTTGACAAGCATAATTCAACACACCTTCATCTTTATCATCAACCAGTGTGAGATCAGCTGCATTGGACACCAGTAAGTCAAAAACGTCTTTTTGACCATACAGAGCTGCCAGCATGACTGGGGTCCGACCATCACGCCTTCTCTTGTTAATGTCACATACTGTGATAAGGTGTTGAACAATAGACGTGTTACCACCTTCACAAGCATCATGTAACACACCTTCATCTTCGTCATCAACCAGTGTGAGATCAGCTGCATTGGACACCAGTAAGTCAAAAACGTCTTTTTGACCACACACAGCTGCCACCATGACTGGGGTCCGACCATCACGCCCTTTCTTGTTAATGTCACATACTGTGATGAGGTGTTGAACAATAGACGTGTTACCACCTTCACAAGCATAATTCAACACATCTTCATCTTTATCATCAACCAGTGTGAGATCAGCTGCATTGGACATCAGTAAGTCAAAAACGTCTTTTTGACCACACAGAGCTGCCACCATGACTGGGGTCCGACCATCACGCCTTCTCTTGTTAATATCACAAACTCTGATGAGGTGTTGAACAATAGACATGTTACCACCTTGACAAGCATAATGTAACACACCTTCATCTTCGTCATCAGCCAGGGTGAGATCAGCTGCATTGGACATCAGTAAGTCAAAAACGTCTTTTTGACCACACAGAGCTGCAAACATGACTGGGGTCCGACCATCACGCCCTCTCTTGTTAATATCACAAACTCTGATGAGGTGTCGAATAATAGACGTGTTACCACCTTCACAAGCATAATGTAACACACTGTTATACTCATCATCAACCAGGGTGAGATCAGTTGCATTGGCCATCAGTAAGTCAAAAACGTCTTTTTGACCACACAGGGCTGCCACCATGACTGGGGTCCGACCATCACGCCTTCTCTTGTTAATATCACAAACTCTGATGAGGTGTTGAACAATAGACATGTTACCACCTTGACAAGCATAATGTAACACACCTTCATCTTCGTCATCAGCCAGGGTGAGATCAGCTGCATTGGACATCAGTAAGTCAAAAACGTCTTTTTGACCACACACAGCTGCCACCATGACTGGGGTCCGACCATCACGCCCTTTCTTGTTAATGTCACATACTGTGATGAGGTGTTGAACAATAGACGTGTTACCACCTTCACAAGCATAATTCAACACATCTTCATCTTTATCATCAACCAGTGTGAGATCAGCTGCATTGGACATCAGTAAGTCAAAAACGTCTTTTTGACCACACAGAGCTGCAAACATGACTGGGGTCCGACCATCACGCCCTCTCTTGTTAATATCACAAACTCTGATGAGGTGTCGAATAATAGACGTGTTACCACCTTGACAAGCATAATGTAACACTCCTCCATCTTCGTCATCAACCAGTGTGAGATCAGCTGCATTGGACACCAGTAAGTCAAAAACGTCTTTTTGACCACACAGGGCTGCCACCATGACTGGGGTCCGACCATCACGCCTTCTCTTGTTAATATCACAAACTCTGATGAGGTGTTGAACAATAGACATGTTACCACCTTGACAAGCATAATGTAACACACCTTCATCTTCGTCATCAGCCAGGGTGAGATCAGCTGCATTGGACATCAGTAAGTCAAAAACGTCTTTTTGACCACACAGAGCTGCAAACATGACTGGGGTCCGACCATCACGCCCTCTCTTGTTAATATCACAAACTCTGATGAGGTGTCGAATAATAGACGTGTTACCACCTTGACAAGCATAATGTAACACACTGTTATACTCATCATCAACCAGGGTGAGATCAGTTGCATTGGCCATCAGTAAGTCAAAAACGTCTTTTTGACCACACAGGGCTGCCACCATGACTGGGGTCCGACCATCACGCCTTCTCTTGTTAATATCACAAACTCTGATGAGGTGTTGAACAATAGACATGTTACCACCTTGACAAGCATAATGTAACACACCTTCATCTTTATCATCAGCCAGGGTGAGATCAGCTGCATTGGACATCAGTAAGTCAAAAACGTCTTTTCGACCACACAGAGCTGCGCGCATGACTGGGGTCCGACCATCACGCCCTTTCTTGTTAATGTCACATACTGTGATGAGGTGTTGAACAATAGACGTGTTACCACCTTCACAAGCATAATTCAACACACCTTTATCTTTATCATCAACCAGTGTGAGATCAGCTGCATTGGACACCAGTAAGTCAAAAACGTCTTTTTGCCCACACAGAGCTGCCAGCATGACTGGGGTCCGACCACCACGCCCTTTCTTGTTAATGTCACATACTGTGATAAGGTGTTGAACAATAGACGTGTTACCACCTTCACAAGCATAATGTAACACACCTTCATCTTCGTCATCAACCAGTGTGAGATCAGCTGCATTGGACACCAGTAAGTCAAAAACGTCTTTTTGACCACACAGGGCTGCCAACATGACTGGGGTCCGACCATCACGCCCTCTCTTGTTAATATCACAAACTCTGATGAGGTGTCGAATAATAGACGTGTTACCACCTTGACAAGCATAATGTAACACACCTCCATCTTCGTCATCAACCAGTGTGAGATCAGCTGCATTGGACACCAGTAAGTCAAAAACGTCTTTTTGACCACACAGGGCTGCCACCATGACTGGGGTCCGACCATCACGCCCTCTCTTGTTAATATCACAAACTCTGATGAGGTGTTGAACAATAGACATGTTACCACCTTGACAAGCATAATGTAACACACCTTCATCTTTATCATCAGCCAGTGTGAGATCAGCTGCATTGGACACCAGTAAGTCAAAAACGTCTTTTTGACCATACAGAGCTGCCACCATGACTGGGGTCCGACCACCACGCCCTTTCTTGTTAATGTCACATACTGTGATAAGGTGTTGAACAATAGACGTGTTACCACCTTCACAAGCATAATGTAACACACCTTCATCTTCGTCATCAACCAGGGTGAGATCAGCTGCATTGGACACCAGTAAGTCAAAAACGTCTTTTTGACCACACAGAGCTGCCAGCATGACTGGGGTCCGACCTACACGCCCTTTCTTGTTAATGTCACATACTGTGATAAGGTGTCGAATAATAGACGTGTTACCACCTTCACAAGCATAATGTAACACTCCTCCATCTTCGTCATCAACCAGTGTGAGATCAGCTGCATTGGACACCAGTAAGTCAAAAACGTCTTTTTGACCACACAGGGCTGCCACCATGACTGGGGTCCGACCATCACGCCTTCTCTTGTTAATATCACAAACTCTGATGAGGTGTTGAACAATAGACATGTTACCACCTTGACAAGCATAATGTAACACACCTTCATCTTCGTCATCAGCCAGGGTGAGATCAGCTGCATTGGACATCAGTAAGTCAAAAACGTCTTTTTGACCACACACAGCTGCCACCATGACTGGGGTCCGACCATCACGCCTTCTCTTGTTAATATCACAAACTCTGATGAGGTGTTGAACAATAGACATGTTACCACCTTGACAAGCATAATGTAACACACCTTCATCTTCGTCATCAGCCAGGGTGAGATCAGCTGCATTGGACACCAGTAAGTCAAAAACGTCTTTTTGACCATACAGAGCTGCCAACATGACGGGGGTCGTCCCTTTCCTGTTTCGATCGTTCACAAGGCTCAGTTCTTTCATGAACTGTAGTGCAACGTTTATTATCCGCATATTTTTTCTTCTCAATGCGACATGTAAAATGTTGTCTTTGTTTGCATTAGTGTTAGCAATGTCAGCCCCTTTCTGCAGTAGAAACGTTACCATTTCAATGTGTTCACGTTCTGCAGCTTCAAGAAACAATTCAGAAACAGTGTTTTGAGGTATCTTGTCTTCAAACGCAGTGAACAATACCTCCATAATTGCCATTCTGCCACCCAATATCGATGCATCAAGAGCTGCTTTGATTTCGTTCCCTGAGAAAATGTTATCTCTAAGCTTTATGACGGACCTCACTACGTATTCACTCTTTGAGAGTACTGCCCAGTAGATGAAATATTTATCATCACAATCCGGAGAACGAAAATCAGTTGTCTTAACCCACTCTTTAAACTTCTCATTTTCAAGAACTTTCTTTGCAAGCGATTCATTTTGTAGCAGTGGATGGGAAATTGACCATCTATATTCTCCTATTAATACTGATTCTGCTATTCTTGCAGCTATTATACCATAGTAGTTTTCTGACACAAAGATGATGTTAGTATAGTTGTCTATTTCTGTTGTGGCTAATGGGTGGGGGTTCACCCTTTCATACAGGAACTGCATACTACAGTTGGTAAGAACAAGAGTTGGATGGAGATCAAAAACAGAGCATAGGCATGCATCAAGTATGGATGGATGTGAAAATGCTGTTGTATCTCCTTCAAGAAGAAATGTTCCTCTTAGTCTTTTAGCAGATTCGTAGATGTCTGCCCTAGTGATTCCTGGGAGAATAGTTTCCACAGCTTGCAGTTTTGTCTCAAGACGCTGGTCATCAGATTTCTTCTCCAACTTTCTCAGATCAAGCTTATCATTGTAAAGGACCATGAGTATAAGAGCCGCTGATATCTTTTGTTTGGATCCCATGATCATATCAATTTCTTGACGCAAGTAGGTCAGGGGCCTAAGGAAAAATTGAAGAGGATTACTCTGGAAATCAGGCAAGCTACTATACAGGGAACATGTCATAGGAAAGCCAAACAAACTATCTTTGGAGTTGCATATCTGGTCTAGATCAACCCGTACGCTCTGCCCGTTTCTCTGTTGGTGCTTTCTGAATATTGCCTTTTTTTCGGCCACAGAATATTGATAGAGAGGAGTTTTAGTCACATCAACAACAGTCTGTGGCTTGAAGAAATTAAACTGCTGTCCTCCTAGCCGAGGTACTACTTCTTGAAAGTTGTATGATTTACTCGTGAACACAATGTATAGGTTTAAATGTTGTTTCTCCTTTAGTTGTGGAAGTATGTCATGATCTGGTCTGACATCTCTAAGTTTTAGTGCGTGATCATTTCCTGTCTCCATTTTCTGTCGTGCCTTCTTCTTTTTTCTTTTCAGAAGACCGAGTCAAGTGTTTGATGAATTCGTCCAGTGATGTCAGAACCTTTCTAAGGTTTGAAATCTCTGCAGATGAACCGGTTCCAAACAAATCATCAAAAACGATGAACAGTGGTTGTCCATCTTTGACGCAGACAGCAAGATCAAACTTATCAATATTGTCAACAAATACCAATTGAAAGCCTTTCTTCTTGTACTTAGCACCCAGCATCAGCGCCATGCTTGTCTTCCTTCTCCTGAGGCGCCCGTGATAGTCACATGTCCATGTTCAATCAGCTTTGACTCCACCTGGTTGAAACTGTTAGTCTTCACGAATACTTCCCGAGTCGATTCTAGTTTCCATTCTGTGTCTTCTGCAACATGTATGTATGATATTGTCAGTGATTCATTTCAAACGGACTATTGAAAGGTATTTGAATACTCATATGGATAGATATTTAGGAGAAATATGCCATTGTAATGTAGCAGTATGTTTGTAAACAGTATATTGTTAGATTTTAAAGCATCGTCATAGTAAACTAACATAAATTAAATTAATAACCTAAACCTAAATACTTAACATTTATTTCCTTAAATACTTGTGTTAACTTCAAAACTTGCATAAAACTTATAATTCATAGGTAAGCTTGCTTCTGAGATAGCTTGGGTAGTTCAGCCATTTCGCTTTTTCAGTTCATGGCTATTGCCACTGGGTTGGGTCACAAGCTTGGCCTGTGGTTAGATTTCTATTGTTCTCTTGGTTTTACTTGATCTTTTCAATCCTGTGGATACCCTGGTCACAACTATGTTTTGCCAGTAGGCCAGGTCATGTAGGGTAATTTCATTTAATTATTACTTTATCAATATGGAAACTTAAGCTAACTTAGTTTATGCATGTTAAGCGTTGTTATTATGTATGGTATTTTAGCTGGCATTGTATTGTGATATTATAGTGTAGTCTTCATTCAACTCTCTTTTGTATTTGACAAATGTATAAGCTAAGTGTACTATTTGTAATATACATACAAAAGGATTATACAATTTATGTTGTTTGTATTCCATGCATACTAATGTTTATCATCCATATGGTGGAGGTGAGGTGAGGTGAGGTGAGGTGAGGTGAAATTGGGTTTTATGTCGTGCTTGAGGATATTTCGCTCATATGACGACGAGCATGCGTGTGTGTATGTGTATGTGCGGCTGCTTGTACTAGCCCAGACTTAAGCTGGTTTTATAGGGCTAGCCCACTGAGAAACCATACCGCAGTGAAGCATGAATACCCGACTCAGACACATTATATTGACTCCGAGCCGACCAGTCCTTGTTGTAAGCCGATCGCCAGGCAGGGACCAACAAGTACCATTTTTTAATGTCTTTTGGTATGACACGGTCGGGGATCGAACCCACGACCTTCCGCTCTCCGGTCGGATGCTCTAACCACTACATCACGGAGGCGGTCCCATATGGTGGAACATAAGCCATGTAATATCACTTTTGCCTAACAATCAGTGTTTCTGTATTTTGTCGTCTGTGACGTCATTGAACAATTGAACGTGACGTCAATAAAGAGGGCCGTCACATTTGCTTACCGTGTTTTACTGCACAAATGTACATGAATAAAATGGATAATAACGAAATTCTTACACTCTCAAGTGTGTCATAGCATTGACACAAAACTCGGGGAATACAAAATATCACACTTGTTTCGAATAAATGGTATGACACACGCGCTCGTGTAATAATGTCTATACCTGTATCTATATTATATTTATACATAGTATATGTATCTGTTCATGATATATCACTGTGGATCTGTAGGAAACGTTCGAGCCTGCATCCCTGAGACGAGGGATGATGGTTATGATGTATGGCATGTGCATGATATAAAGAGCGTGATATGTTTTATCTAAAGGGATTAGTTAAGGTATATTGCAAACAAGGACTGCACTGTGAAGAAATATTGTAATGTTAGTATTATTGTTCTTTGGTGCCGTTATATTGCCCCTACGATTGTCCGCCTTAAAGATGGAATATTGCAGAGTGCGGTGTTAAACAACAAACCAACAAACCCTACAAATGATGTTTATCATTAAATGTTTAGGGCAGATCCGGACTACCTTGTGGTACTTCATTCAAAATAGAACGTTAAACATTTTAAACCAAAGTGAAAAGAGTGACCTGATATTTTCTCAGTAGATGATATAAAACTAATTTCAAACCTCATGTCCAACAGCAGTTTTTACCATACACATTATGTGGCAGATATAACTTTGTACAACTGATGTTGTGGCTCATAAAGAAGACACAAAGACATATATGATAGAAATATTGTTCATTATACAAAATTGAACCATTTACCAAGCATGAAACAGATTCACTAATGTCCAATCGATAGTAATCTGGTCTCGGAATCAGGCACAAGAGACGTGGGGTCAAAATGAAATGTTACCCAATCACAGATCATTCACAAGATGTGTTCCAAGTCTTTAGTAGCGTATGTAATGACCCCTTGAATCGATACATGCCAAAACACGTCTCCTCATGGATGACGTTAGTCGCCGGATGACGTCAGCAGGAATTCTGTACCACAGACCCAAGAGAACTGGTTCGAGCTGCTGTCGATTTGCTGGTGGAGGTTGCCGCTGTTTCAACTGTCTGTCAAGATGATCCCAGAGATGCTCTTTCGGATTCATATCCTGAGATCGTGCTGGCCAGGGCAATACGTTGATGTTCACGTTGTTGAGGTAGTCTTGTACGAGCCTGGTAGTATGTGGGCGTGCATTGTCCTGTTGCAAGATCAAACCCCTCGGCTGTTGGTGCACAAATGGTAACACAACTGGCCTCAAGACTTCGTCTCTGTACCTTTGAGCAATCAAATTTCCATGAAGGATGACAAGTCGTGTTTTCTGCTGACCACAAATCCTACCCCATACCATGACACCGCCTCCACCAAAAGGGTGCACCTCTTGGACACAGTTTGGCTCCAGTCGCTCACCCTTACGTCTGTAAACACGAACTCGCCAGTCATTTCGGAACATGTTGAATCGACTCTCGTCTGTAAACAGAACTCTTTCCCAATCACGTCACTGCCACATGCGTTGACAGTGTTGACGGGTCAAGGCCATTCCACGAAAGGGGCGGTGAGCTCTGATGCCAGCCATACGGAGTCGTCGTAGTACGGTTCGTCTGCTGATGGGGTGTCCCAAGGCCGTCGCCGTCGTTGACGTCGCCGTGACGAATCTGTTCCGCAGGTGTATTGACCGGATGTAGTGGTCTTCAGCTGGCGTGGTAACCCCTGGTGTGCCCGTTCTTGGGCGGTCTTGTGTCTGGCCTGTCTCTTGGTAACGACTCAATAAGTTGCTGATGGTTGATTGGCTGCAATTGAAGACTCTTGCAATGTGACGTTGTGACGCCCCTATTTCTGCCATACCATTGCTCTATCACGTTCGGCTTGTGAAAGCCTCGGCATTTCTCTGATGTTCTTTTGGATACTGCATGGTTGCACTGTTCCACATCTGTATTTATGCAAAAATTGTGCACGGTTATTTTCAGCAAAGTCCATTTATGCTGTTTTTGGAATTGTTCATGCCAGCACGAATTGCACTTAATCACGGACTTGTGCCTTCTGAAAACATTTCACTTTATGGCAGTATCTCTAATTGCGAAAACATTAATTTAAAAGTTTCTTTTGCGAATGTTTTTTGAAACGTTTCACTTTATGGCAGTATGTGTAATTGCAAAAACATTAATTTAAAAGTTTCTTTTGCCCGTTAGTTTATATACATATGGCTAAAGATTGACTTCTCCACTAACTTTGGGGAAACCAACTGCAAACTTTATGCATATGAATTGCAGGAGGAACATGCATCAAATCGCTGGAAAGCATGTGCAAATATCGTGCATGTGAACAGCTGCGTTGTGGTGTAAAGTTTTGATGATTGACACTGATTTTCATCATTTACTGAACTCATGACAATAATCTTTCCAACCTTACGAATTTGTTTTACAATACATTAGTTTATGTGTAAACAGTACTTTTAAACAGTATGGCATATTTTGCAAAATTTAGTTTAGAACAGTTGCCAGTAAGTGGCTATATTTACACTAGTGAGTCTAAACTTTTGATGAGAAGTATATATTTATCTGTAGGAAAGGTTAGATATAGGTCATGTGTCCCTCAAGCCCTTAACAAACCCAAGCCATGATGTGCTAGACTGATTTGCCAAGCTAACCCTCCAAGTTCAACCCTTTGTCTAACAGCTTGCACCCAGTCTCACAAAGTCACTACACAGGCTTTCACATCAGCCTAGTCCAATATGTCTCTATATATTTTATATTGTATATTATTTCATTTATATCTGGCATTACAATAAACATTTTCTATTAAAATAAACTAAGTGTTTGATATTATCTAAATCTCATCCATTACATATTGACATAACTGTGTTAAACAAAGCTTATAAATTGTAAGCTTTTGTAATTACTAACATATAGCTTTTCTGTCTCTTTAGTCTTGTGTGCATGAGATAATAGTGTGAATGTGTTATAAAATAGTCTGATTAAACTTCTGTTGTGGTGAGGTATGTGTATGCAACATATGACAGTAACATTTTAACGGGTATGTAAATTGTAAAGGTGTGTTACTCTTTGTTATGAGAGAATATATTTTATTCATGTAACCTTGCCATTTACTATATGAGTACAAATTGTAATAATTCCATAACCTTATTGCACTTAGAATACTTATGAACATATATCTAGCTATATACTTGGCAAGATTGATCGTAACCTTATTGTGTATTGCAATATTGGTGATTGTATCATATGTACTATTAATGTATCATTATTTCTATAAATATTTCAGGGTGAATTCACGGCGAATAAATACTCTTTCGGGCAAAATCTCACACCGTAGCGTGTGTTTGAAGTTATTATTACATTCACTGCCCTGCTACAATTATAAACGGTATTATAACCCACTTGCCATTTTTGATTAATTCCGAAGTATGTTTGAGCTTTATTCACCTACATTAACCGACACATCACCAACACACACCTGGAACTCAATTAAGCACCCCCCGAATTCTACCCCATATTACCATGAAGCTGAGCAACCATTACCATTAGTATGTATACTGGAAAGCTTAAACACCATTGTTTCCCGGACTAAGCAATAACAACAAAATCATGAAAATGTGCAATTTTTTAATTTACAAAATGACATGAAAACGTCAACGATGTTTTGTGAACAAAATGTATCCCTGCCCAACTATGGGGAAGGAAAATAGGAGAGGCGAGTGTCTCTCAGTCTGAAAATGTTCTCTATCATCCTTAGACAACAAATCGCACGAAACCTGTGCACGGATGACAGCTTTGACCCTCCTCCTCATGCTTGTCATGAGTCAATTGGCTCCAGAGGCAGCTGCTGCTACTCCCGGCGCAAAGATGCTTCCTACCATGCCAGATCATGTCCAGGTGGATCCAGTGCTTGCACTCGGCGTCCAAGAATGCCCCAGACAGGTTCCAATGGGTTCAGATCCGGGCTCATAGCAGGCAATGGACGTTTGGTTACAGTGTTGTTTGAGAAAAATTGCCACAAGTCGGGAACGGTGTGGTCGGGCATTGTCATCCATAAATACAGGGCGAGTAGCTTATGGGTGTGGCACAAGAACTGGACCCAGGATGTCCCGGATGTCGTGGTCGCCATTGAGATTTCCACGAACAGTCGCCAAGTCCAGTTTACAATCATTGAAAAGACAACCCCAGACCATGACAGATCCACCAAGGTAAGGAAATGATGCTCTGGTGTTCTTAGGCACTGCTATTGGTCTTCCAGACTCGCTGACGTCTGTCTGTGACGTGCAATAAAAAGTAACTGTCATCCGACCAATGCACCTTCCTCCATGACTTCAAATTCCAATGACGTGGGTAGTGTGCTTCAACTGCATACTGGGATGTGTTTTGACGATTCATTTAGCAAAACGTTTAAACAATATTGAAAGGAAATACAGTGCAAATAGTAGTCATCGTTACAATTCAAGATTTATCATTAAATAAGTCAGTAACTTATAATATGTTAGGGCGTGCTTAGTTAAGTTCCATGTGTATATATCGGTTAGATAAATAAAAACAGAATTCCTTTTCTCCAACATGTTTCGTTGTTTACTCTTCAGTAATTTATATTCAGGTCATATGATTTGACTAGAATTAGGGATACAGGCGAAGTCTTTCCCTCTGGCAAAGTCTTTATATTTGTTAGGAGTGTTTCCAAAGGCTTGTTTCCATTATATTATACGATAGCATCCATTGACCTTTGTACATTTGGTGTAATGATTTTATCATCATTTATTACACAGTTTCAACAATCTGACGTTTACATGGTGGCATTGGAAAATAAGAGTTTGAGTTACAGAAAACAAAGATGCCATGTACGTTTACAAATGTGAATTTCTGTAAGCAAATACACGAAAATAGTGAAATATCATCGACAAGTATTACTTAAACACTTAACATTCCCTTACACTTATTGTAAAGTACTAAAGCAGCAGTCATATGATTTCCTAGAGTTCACAGACTCCCTAACATCGCTGAACCATACATAATGATCTTCTCACCTGAAGACATGGTTCCACCTCCAGAGCCAATGGCGACATTCACGTCTCCCAGCTCTAGGAAAAAAATAATGTGGAGATGTACGTTTGATTAAACGGTAACAGATAATGCAAAATATGAATAGGATTAAGCCACAGTATTTTGAATAAATTGCAATTGGTACATCATTAAATTGCATTGTGTTTTTTTGTAATACCTGCATTCTGTTTGGCTAAACTGGTGATGTATTTTTGTATTCAGCTCTTAATGAATGTAAAAAAATGAACCCAAACCCATCAAAGCGGACAACTGATACTAGTACGCACTGTTGAACAATCCCATATACAGTCCAAATGACTTTGTGGGCGTGTCAAGTTATGTGCGTACGGTAAACAATCTCCTAATATGCGTCACGCCTCAGCGTGTATTCCTTTCATTAGAATGTTTATCGGTCTTTGAGTTTCCTGCTTTTTTTTGATATTCTGATATTGTTTTAGATTGTTTTTTTTGTCCAATGTCATTACAAGTATTACATCAAATCATGTCCCGCTAAATTGTCCTGTTTTGTGGGTGTTGAGGAGCAGAATGGGATGAAAGGGTTTGATAAGGGCGATAGGTTCCCGTTTCGCCATTATGTATACTATATCCAAGCGATGTTGCCGCTGCCTAAAATCAATACATATTCATATATAGAAACACGTTAATCTCACTATTTCTTTGGTTTTGGTAAGGAATGCTTGACGAGCTAACTGTCTCCCCTGTTCTGTGAACCTTTTTCGCTTCTTCACAAATGCCACTGGTTTTACGTGTCTTTGTTCGAATCTCTTGTATCATCACCTTGTGTTTTGTACGTTCTGACAGAACTAAAGGAAACCTTTCTTCAGTTATCTTACTATCGGACATATAATGCTGCCGAGATATGATCCTCATTGCTACTTCACTTCACGTCAACAAGAACGAAAATACTATCGTGTTTGAATGCCTTCTTGTGCAACTGGCGAGAAATAAATTTAAGAGCTATATCAATTACATGGAGACCCCCAATGCTACTTCCATACCGAGTACGACAGGCGCGGCGGTTATAGTTGACAATAAACTAGCATCTGCCACACCAGGCCCCATGCCATGTTTGCCGCTAAAAGTGCAGTGTCAACTCTGTTGAGAGCATTCACAGTTCTATGGCAAACGAAATCCGTCAACGCTTTCCAACTTTTCAACTGCTTCATCAACTGCCGGGTATAATCCCGTGAAATGTTAGGTTTTTCAATGACAATGGCCCCTTCAAGGCTTGTAAATGTGGCTGCTCCTGGTCGTATATGAATACAACTTTTATGTTCATGTTTTTCATCCCATCATACTTTTAACCAATCAAAAGGTTTAACATCTTCTGTGGGGACATCTCTTGGGAAGACGTCAATAAAAAGTGCAGAGCCTTGTTATATCTAACCTCGTATTGGCAGAGTAACAGTCAATAACTTGTAATGGGGATATATATATTCTTGTAGCCTGGATCGTTGACTATCACATGACCTGTTTTATCTGGTATTGCTATCAAGTATTTAGTATGTTTCGTAGGATTGAAAGACCCTAAAATAACCCCATATTTTTTATTTCAATCAAATGTCCACTGACGTCGTAAACAATATATGGGTTGGTAAGGGTGATATTTATAATCTTTAGATTCGATTATTATTCATTTGTCATCGTTGGTGCGTACGAGATTGTAATGGATGATTTTTGATCGGGTTCCGATTTCGACATTGTTTAAATCTCCTAGATTATCACCCGGAAGTATAACCTCTTGTCGTTTGTAAAGATTGTTTTGCAAGTGCAAGGCATATAACGTGTCTTCAGTACCGGAATTATCAAACATTTGTGTGTCACTGAGATCGGAGAGTGCAATTGTAGCACATTTTGTAATGTGGCCAGGACCTGAAGTGTCAACCATTATTCTTATGAAATAGTATTCAAATGGTTCTCATACAATCTATCGAGTGTAAACTTAAAGCTTATAAGATGTATATTATATGGTAAAACAAATCTTAGTGAGTGAAATGCTTTAAGGAGGCTGGATACTTTGGTTTGATACCGACGGGGTGTGACACTAGGAGCGCATATTTATGTTACGCAGTTATTAGGGCTCCTTGCCTATTGGAATCGTTAATGTTTTTATTATTTATTATTCCGCCGTATTTTGTACCAGCCCTACAAAAAGCACCGCTGGACAGAATCGCTTGAAAAGAATTACCATGGTGCCAACAGTGCTGAAGTCGTTTCTGCAAAAATCTCAAGGCTCTAGGCCCAATAGCAAAGGGGAGATAATTCAAAATTAATTCAAAATTTTCAATTTCCAAAGCAATAATCTCCGAAACTACAAGTCCGATGACTAGCAAATGTCTGGAGCAGGTCTGGAATCCGATTACCTTCAATTTCAACTGCATGACCCATGGGGCTACGAGGCACCGTTTGGACGCCATATTGGATTTAAGGAAATTTCACGTTTTTGACGGGTAGGCATTTCCGCAACCCATCACTCTGAATGTATGATGTCTAGAACTCTGCAAATTTGCACATTTAGTGTATATACCTCAAATATGAATATCCTAAAACTATGTTGCGATATCTTGAATAGTTACGGACATCTATATTTTTACTTTTGTTGTTTATGTTTTACTAAAATGTATCATTAAAGAATCTTAGCATCATTACCATTTCAACTAAACCGCTAGAATTTGGCAACATGCAGTAACTTAGTGTGTTGAACATTTTTGGTTCTTTGCTGCATGTCAAAATGAGAACCGTTTGGCGGCCATATTGGATTTCGTCAGATTCTGAAGATACTACATTATAAACAGTATAGCTGCTCCAGTTCTGCACAGAAGGCAGTATGCATCAACATAAGATGCTTAACATTTCGTGTTCTTACATGCATATACAAAATTGGATCGTTTGTCGGCCATATATATGGCATTGAAAATTGCACAAATGCATCATGTGTCCTACAATCCAAATGACTACAATTTCGCCTGGACGGCTCAAGTCGCTAAAATGCGTCGCTAAACCGTTTCAAGTGTCGAAACGGTGCGTCTGATAGCTGAACTTCTGACGATTCCAGAACACTAATTGTTTTGACTGTAGACCCAAGGACAACGGAGCTACAGCCTGTCAAAGAGCGAACTATTTCTTGTCCGGAACTTCTTAAAAGGTACATGACCGCCAGCCGACCAGGGGTCAACTTTTTCTGTCCACCTTTAAACACCCGTAACTCGGAAACCAACCGTCCGATTTCCACCAAAATTTGGATATGCATTTATGCCGCCAGCTTCGAAGACAACGGAGGGACAAATAATATTCTATTTTCCTCACCACAGTTGCTATTCTGGATTGGTTCTCTACTGTGGGCTATGAAAATTGTCAGTGTACATGTGTATGGTTTGCTGATCACTTTTTATTCTAAGGTACATGTTAAAAATATCACCGTTCACTCGCCGACTTTGTGATGTCTGGAATGTGTCATAACTTTCTCGGAGATTTACGACACGGCAGATTACCCGTGCAAAGCATGCGACAGTCTGAAGGGAAGCGCAGGGACGGTATCTGCTATAAAGAGACTACCACTGCAAAGCGTGGTCCACGTGCAGATATGGGAGATGATGTCAATTTCAATTGACAATGACGAGGGCTAGCGCTACACAAAATGAAAATACACATACAGTGTAATGGATACTGATACAAACCTACTGAAGTACCTTAACTGCTGTGTAATCACAAGTTCACTTGCATGAGCGCGAGTGAGTGAGTGAGTGGGTGAGTGGGTGAGTGAGTGAGTGAGTGAGTGAGTGAGTGAGTGAGTGAGTGAGTGAGTGAGGTTTTACGCCACACTCAGCAATATTCAAGCTGTATGTCCGCGGTCTGTAAATATTCGAGTCTGGACCAGACAATCCAGTGATTATCAGCTTGAACATTGATCTGCACAATTGGGAACCGATGACATGTGTCAACTAAGCTCAGCGTGAGAGAAACAGTGTTGTGGATATTGGTACATGCTACACAAGTACAGAGCATGGGCACGTTGTGTCGCATTTCAACTTGGCTGTAGTTGATATTTAGCTGGAAATTGTATCTACAGTCACCCGAAAATAAACACCATAAACAACCACATTTTCAGTCAAAAGGAAAAAATTATTAGCAATTGAAAGTGCATTATTCTTTTTCCTTCGAATCTCTAATCAAACCAACAGCTGTTTCCAAAGCCATACGTGCAATTACCCATACCATACAACACAATCCTTTGTTTCTAACCCTGAAAACATAAGAATTCAAAGTTTACCACTGAAGTATTTCTCATTACTGACAATGATATGATCCATATCAGCTATAACCTTTACTGCTTTCGACATCAGGTACCAAATGTTTAGAAATTATCCAAGCCAAGGAGCCCTCAATGTTGCCCGCAACTTTAATTTCCCTTTATCTTGCTTCCAATCATACTTCATGATATTTTGAACAAGAGTTATCTTTCCTTATCAAATTTAATTTGGGTACGCTGTTTTAATTGGCGATAATATTGATACCCTCTGGTAACATATTTATTTTATTTTTGAATATTAATCTAGTGTGAATTTACTATATAAAAATTCATTGTATACAAATCTTTTTTTTCATTGATGAATCAATATTTTTTTTAAATTTCCGGTTTTTAGAAGTTAATTAATGTGTCAAATCCTACATACTGCCTTGAAAATTGATTTTCCTCCTTTGTTTCACATCAATACTGATATATCTTTATAAAAAAACACATATTGAATAATAAAAATAAACAATTTACTTTTAAGAAAACTTTTATTGACATATTACTTTTTACAGATGGTGCCACAAGCGGCGCCACTTGTCAAACAAATGCTGTGGTGACTTGCTAGTTTTATTACATAGGGACACATTTTTCTCCAAAATGATACCAAATTTAGCAACTTGACATTTTGATATTTTGTATCCAATCTCCTTATGCCAATGCAACCATGACACCCTCGAGACTAACATGAGAATTTGCCGAATTTGTTTCTGTTCGTAAATAAAT